CATTTTGTATTTGATTCCCCATAATTTAATCCCACCCCTTTTCCGAACACCCTAGCATTTACTTCTTTTACAACCCCATCTATAAATATATTAAACAACCATGGTGACATTACACATCCCTGTCTAAGACCTACTTTTACCGGTAAGTAGTCTACGCACCCTAACCTGAGCCTCACTGCCCTCATAAAAACTCTTTACAGCATTTAGTAACTTACCACCTATTCCATATACTTGCATCATCTGCCACATTGCTCCCCTATCCACTCTACCATATGCCTTTCCTAAATTCATAAATGCAATAAAAACTTCCCTACCTTTATCTAAATACTGTTCACGCATATGCTTCAATGTAAACACCTGATCTACACATCCCCCACCCACTCTAAAACCTCCTTGATCATCTGCAATCCTACGTTCTGTCTTAACTTTAATTCTTTCAATAATAACCCTACCGTACACTTTTCCTGGTATACTCAGTAAACTATTTCCTCTATATTTTTTACAATCGCTTTTGTTTCCCTTCCCTTTATATAAAGGGACTATACATACTCTCCGCGAATCCTTTGGTACCTTCCCCTCTTTCATACATTTAATAAACAAAAATACCAACCACTCCAACACTATATCCCCCGCTGCTTTTAACATTTCTGTCATGATCCCTCAGTTCCAGCTGCTTTACCCCCTTTCATTCTACATAATGCCTCACGCACCTCCCCCACACTTACATCCTGCTCTTCTTCACTCCTTAAAGATGGTAATCTTAATTAATCCCCAGTATAGAGTACAATATATGTGTAGCATATAGGTATATATTGCTATTGACTGGCACTAGTGAACTATTGCCAGATGTCCACAGAGAAGTGGAAATAAACAGCCGGATAAGTATTAAACTATAGTCATAAGTAATAAAACAAGTGATGTGCAGGGAAACACAGTAAAGATAATGTGAGCATAAAATGAAGGAAAATGCATAATCCAAATGACCTACTGCATGAAGTGTCATTCCCGTAACCTCCTACCGCCGACCCTTCCCCACCCAATGGGAAGGTCCCCCCTCACCCCCAAAACTCTCTCTCCGACTGCCTTCTAACACCGATCCCCCCTCCACCGAGGGAAGGTCCCCCCTCACCCCAATATCTCCCCTCCGACCACCTCCTAACACCGACCCCCCCACCAGTGGGTAGGTCCCCCCTCACCCTAAAACTCTCTCCTCCAACCCACCTCCTACCACCGACCCCCCCTCCACCCAGGGGGAAAGGTTACCCCTCCCCCCCAAAGCTATCTCCTCCGACCACCTCCTCCCAACCGATCCCCCCTCAACCCAGTGGGAAGGTCCCCCCTCACCCCAAAACTCTCTCCTCCGACCACCCCAACCTTCGGGGATGGTCCACCCCCCAATGGCACCAATACCCTCTGTCCACGGATCCATCTCTTATCACTTACAAATCAGCCACGACCCTAAACAATCCACCACCACCATATACAACTGCAGAGGATAAGATAAGGGGCAGTGATCATGGCCAGATAAATCATCTGTTGCAGGGTGTATGATGTTATACACCATAAAAATTTTTAATGTGTAGTAAGTCTCGATAATAATTACATCCCACATACTCATGTTTTGTCCCTCTAACACCCCACAACTGAGTGTAGAGCAGAAAGGTAAAGTGAAAATCAAGTTCTTGTTGTACCCAGTGTGAAAATAGGTTACAGGCAGGATGGCAGTACAGTATACCTGTGGGACATGTGATAAGGCTCTTGGGAAAAAATCCAGAATCATATGCAACCTATGTTTTACAAAACATCATGCTACCTGTGCAAGAATAAGCATTGCATCAAAAAACGACATTAATCTAGAAAGGTATTTCTTGATCTGCAATAAGGATATGGAACTATGGACAGGCATCAGGAAAGTACTCAGGAGGTTAATAAACAATAAGCATGAAAACAAAGACGAACTACTGGATATTCTACCTGGAATATAGAGAGCATGGGAGGATAAGAGAGGAGAAAAGTTTAGCTCACAGAATGCCCAGTCTACAAAAGATGACCCAAAAAATAAACAGACACCCACTGGAAAAAGAAACACTGGAAACAAGAAAATCAGCTAGCCCAGTCCCCAGCTCTAGGGCTGACCCAGATCCAGCCTATAGCCAATATGCAAATCTGGATTCAGCTAAAGACTCTTCCACAGCCACCACAGTCATAGCCCCTAGTACAGATGTAGCAGGGAGTCCTCTTCTGGGAAAATTGTTGGCCTCATGACAACAGATGGTGGTGTCTCTGGTTTGGCTATGAAGGACTGTAGTGCAGTTCTAGGATCTGCACAGATTAGGAATACATCCAGTACGAATTGCCTCCAGTCAAAAGTAAAATGGTGCAAATTCTATGTTTGGGGCATCTGTAAGCATGGAATATCAGGGAAAACAAATGGGACATGCAACTTTGAGCATCCCAAAAATATCACGACCTCCAGTCTAAACGAGTTTGTCGTTCGTCCTCTTGCAAATTCTTCCACCCTGAAATGTGTCATTCTTCAGTCCTCGAAAATCAATGTTACAATACCATCTGCCCCACATACCACCTAAAAGGGAGCAGGAGGCACACACCCCATAAAACATATCATAGAGTTATGGCGCTTACGACAACAACACTTCAAGTGATTTTTTAGTGGTAGGAAACGAAGAAAGAAAATGGAAAGCGATTACCAAAATAGCCCACCACCTTGGAGCCTTGCTGGACTGGAAGCACAGCCAGTGGCCCCTCCGGACTCACAACGTCTGATGCCAACAACGAAATCCACCAACAAAAATACAACACAACCTCATTTAAAATTTGGTAATATACAGGGCCTAAAGCCATCCACCAACAACCTAATACCTTTCATTAGAGGACTTATAGGTAAATCAACCTTTTCAGATGCGGCAGAAAGAACAGGCAACAGGGGAATGGGCGACCTGTATGTCACAGAGTCGTACATTTGCACAGAGATAGTGAACACGTCAAATGATGTATTTAAAAGTTCCAACAATAAAAATCAAAAACCCAAAAACTTCCAAACAGTTCAGGGAAAACAGCTATCAAAAATTGACTCCTGTAGGAAAAACCTTCAAGTTTCATCCCCAAACATCTTGCTGCTTGGTAACTTCAAGCTAAGATATACAAAATATGGAAGAAATTTGAAAGGATGTTGTAGGAGAATAATCTCTTGAGGCAGCTCAGAGGAAAAGTCTCACACACCATGAGCTGCTAAATTTTTTGCAATAAACACACCTAAGTCAGCAAATAGTTGGGCCAACAAGACTGAAGAACACACTTAAACCTTATTTTCACAAATAATGAGGACGTGGTGGGAAACATAGCAATACCAAACACAACTAGTAATAATCAATATCAAACCCCAAAGTCCAGACTTACAGGGCACAGCAAACTGATGCAGTTATGGGGGGTACCTTCATCAATTTCAACTTCAACAACAAGAACATCAGCTGGGGCCAGGCAAATTATGTCCAAAAAGGAAACAGTTGGGAAGATCCCTTTAAAAATAAGCGAACCCAAAACCAGTCCCTTGAAAAGATCAACTTCCTGGTAACTGAAGTATGTTCAAGGGATATTTCCCTAAGAAAAAAGAAGGAAAGAAGTAATTGGAGAGAGAGAGATCCTCCCTCTACAGGGAAGGCGAAGAATCACTGAGCTCCTCAAGAATGCCAGTTTAAATCTGAAACACGGAAGCACAAACCAGGGAATTGGGAAATATTGAGAAAAAGTTAAAGGACTCTACAGGATCCATGAGAGACAAGAGGAGCTAAAAGAAATTTAAGTGAAATTGAAAGAAATTCGAAATATTCTTTTCATATGGCGAAAACAAGGCAAAAACCACTTCTAGTATAGGGCCCTAGTCAGACAAGATGGACCCTACAGATATGCAACAAAGAAATGAGTGAGTACGAAATCGCAATATGATTCTGTGTTCACGAGCCACTAATCATTTCTAAAGATAGCCAATCCAAACAATTTTTTCATGAATGAACCTCAGAACCCTGCCAATGTATGCAAATTTTCTGACATAACCCTAATTTTCACTTGACTTGAGAAAGCCATTGATGACATCCCCATGCACTCAGCCCCAGGGCCCAGATTCGTAGAACCCCTGTGCTCACAAAAAACCTGCAAGAAACCAATCTCACGGCCCTAAGTATGCTATGGAGAAGTAGCATAGACAGGTGAGATTTCTCAGTCACTAAAAACAACGGATATAGCCCCATCCATATAGGTGGCAGCAAAGGAATAGCTAAGAACTATAGACCAATAGCTTTACATCCCACATTAAAAAAATCTTTCAAAGGTTCTAAGAAGCGGGATTGCAAACCGCTTGGACGCCCCAAAAATGCAAAATCCAGGGCAACATGGGTTCAGAGCAGGTCACTCCTGACTCTCTCAACTACTGGACCACTATGATATGGTCTTAGATGCACTTGAAAAACAAACAGTATGTGATGTAGTATACACAGACTTTGAAAAAGCCTTTGACAGTGCGATCATGCTGTAACAGCAGAAAATGCGTGCTAGAGGGAATAACTGGCAAAGTAGACAGATGATCTTCAACTTTCTACTGGAGTTGAAATGACATTCTAACTTACTACATAAAAGCAATTATGAAAGTAAAATTTCTGACTTATTATGGAGATATCCACTCACGGGACATACTTTATTACATTTTCTAACTTTTAAGGGTCTTTTTCAAACTTAGAAAAATGCACAGAATATGTCTGAAGAATGTTTTATTTAGTTAAATTCTGAAGTGGTTCTCAGGGGTCAAATATTGTTTGTTTAAATATCTTACTAAATAGTCCTACATAAAAAAAATCTAAAAATTAGTATACTTTTACTCTTTATGTTTAATAAATTAAAATATAAACATAAAAAAATGTTAGGAAAAAAAATTACTGAGGCAGAGAAAAAAAATATGCTGTCAGTTAAATAACTAAGAGTTATTACAGATTATAGGTTCGAGGTGCAGCCGGAAAACAGCTTTGAGTGTCGATCATAAGCACATCCAGATGTGCTTAACCTCGGGGCTGTCAACTGGTGCCAGGGATAAAACCACCAAGAATCTGGTGGCTGTTATGCTGTCGTGTAACTACAAGTATTGTTTTGAAGCTCCACAGAACCCTGAAGATGAGGTGAATTTTAAATGTAAACACAGCAGCTCTTTTCTCTTAATTTCACTGGGCTAAGACAGTCAAATGAGTGACTGTCTATGAACTTTAAACAGGAATTATCTGGCTATTTCAGAATGTGCTCTGTGGATTTTTTCTCTCACTTTGCTCTTTAAAACTTTTTTAACTCCTCTTTTTAAAGTTTGTGGAATATTTTAAATGGCTGCTTATTATTAATAGGTATAAATATAAAATAATGGAACCTTGCCTAAAATCCTATCCTAGGACTAACGATAGTTACCTAACCCTATCTAACCTATGTCTGGCTTCCGGCAAAAGCATCCATGCCAAAAGATTTTATCTCGTAATTGTTTTCAGTTGCATGACAGAATTGATGAATTGGCAGAGGTTTATCTGGATTTACCTGGAGAGGGTTTTTTCGGGGGTCAACCCCCCCGTGGCTCGGTCTGAGACCAGGCCTCGTGGTGGATCATGGTCTGATGAACCAGGCTGCTACTGTTGGCCGCACGCAAACGACGTACGAACCACAGCCCGGTTGGTCAAGTGCTGAGTTTAGGTGACTGTCCCATGCCTTCTGGAGACAGTCAGGGGTTTATTGGTATGCCCCCTTATGTATGTTGAGAAGCAGTGAACAGTCTTCGGCCCCGGACACTTTATTGTGTTGTCTCTAGTGTACTCGTTGCGCCCCTGCTTTTAACTGGGGAAATGCTGCATCTCCTGCGAGTCTTTTCCATCATGGGAGAAGTAGATTATGATCTTTGCTTCCAGTTAGAAGCTAGAAAACAATAATATGAAAAGAATTTCAACTGAATTTCTTTAATTTGAGACATATTCTATCGTGCAGAAGGAATCACTTGTTTGCAGTGCATTCAGGAAGATAAAAAGACACTTGAATGCATTGCTGCTCAGCTGAGGCTGAGTTACAAGTATCTCTGGGGTTTTTCCTGGAGTTTACCTGGAGAGTTTCGGGGGTCAATGTCCCCGCGGCCCGGTCTGTGACCAGGCCTCCTGGTGGATCAGAGCCTGATCAACCAGGCGTTACTGCTGGCTGCACGCAAACCCAAAGTAGAGCCACAGCCCAGATGGTCAGGTACCAACTTTAGGGGCTTGTCCCGTGCCGCTTGAAGACTGTAGGGACTATTGGTAATCTCCCTTATGTATGCTGGGAGGCAGTTGAACGTCCCCGGGCCCCTGACACTTATTGTATGGGCTCTTAACGTGCTAGTGACACCCTGCTTTTCATTGGGGGGAGGTTGTATCAACACACCAATGAGGCTGAGTTACATAAATCTCTGGGTTATTGTCCTCATCGCTCTCGGGCAGTGTGGACCTACTGCGCAACGATCCTCAGTTGCCAGACTGCAGTGTTGTGAGGTGGTGCTTGTCGCGCCTCTGCCGTCAACCAGGAAAACTACCATCAGCAACATGGCGTTTTTGTCATAGATGCAGGATCCCAAAACTGTCAGCGTTGAGCTTCTCCGAGGGGCAATAACGCCAGTTTCAGCCCAGGTATTGCTACCCAAAATAAACAGAGAGAGTATGGCAAATTTAGGATGGAGAATTGTACGGGGTAGCCTTAAACGGAGCACATAGGATTTTTGTGAAATGCTCTCAGATCGGTCTATGAATCGTTGGTCACCAGCTGTTCGTGTGAGGATGATCGATGTATCCAGGCATTATACATGGATCAAACTGCATAATGTCCCCTTTGAGGCTGATGAGACAGACATCAGAAAAGTTTTTGAGGAATATGGAACTGTTCATTTGGCCCGCATGGTACATGGGTGACGGATGCATATGCAGGTCTGCCGGAAGGCACTTTCAACCTAAAAATGACATTGCGGGCACCCCATACAGTTCTACGTGTACCTACAGGAAATTCAGGACACAGGTCATGGTTTCGTACACCGGGCAAAGACGTACATGCCCACTATTGGGGAATATGATCACATAGCGGCGGCGTGTGGGAAGCGGCGACGGGCTCCTGGGCCCCGAGGCGGGGCAAACCACTTCTAAACCTGAATGAGCAGGTGAGTTCAACGACGTAAAAAGGGCGTGGGCGTCAATGGAGTGAGATAGTGGATGAGGCGCATAAAGGTAGGGGGGAGGGTGAGATCCTTGACCAGTTTTCCTGGCCCAGAGACACTTCCAGAGGGTAGAAACGAGCAGAAAGTACACGAGGAAGTGTTGGAAATTGAGGAGGAATTAGCTGAGGTGCTGAAGTCCTTGTCACCACCTGAGGAGGAGCTGCACCTGGAAAGGTGGTAGATGACGAGTTGACGGCTGTGGTGCATCAACAACAGGAGAACTATCTGGGCGACGGGAGTGACAGCGTGACTGGGCGTGTCACCCGGGTTCATTGAAACAGTGTACAGTGGAGGTTGAGGTACATTGTGAGGCATTTCCCCCCACCAAGCTATGGGGGATGTGATCGTCACAAGAAAGAGGGACGCTGTGTCGGATTCCGATGATGTCCTAACGCCAGCGCAGTGGGCCCGGGAAGCAATATGGGCAGAAGGTGAAGATAATGCGGCCACGACAGGAGGCACCGAAGAAGGGTGGGGGGAGAAAAGGGGAAGTGTGAAGGTGACAAGTGGACCCATAAGTTCAGGTTTCCCATCGGAAGAATGAAGAGAGGAGGGCAGGGGTGGAAACTTTAATAGGCCTCGGTGTATGACAGTAAACGTTAATAGTTTGTGTAATATTGTATAGAGAGAATGCTTTAGAATGTTTCTCAATAAATTTAGAGTGGCTGTTGTGTTCCTACAGTAGCAATAATTTTAAGGAGGGTAGGGTGTTGGGGTGGCAGGGTTTCAGGTGGTAAACCCCGCCATCTGCCAGTTTGAAAGGAGGGGTGGGTATACTAATTAGGGAGGCGAGACCATTTGTTTTGCAGAGAAATGAGGGGGAAGGGGGAAGGGTGTTGTGCGTGGATGGATGGTGGATGGGCCAAACGGGTGGCCTATATAAGCGTGTATGCGCATGCAGAGAATAAGTACAGGTGAAGCAGGAGTTTGTGTTTTGAGGACCTTGTGTTTTATCCCTGCTTACAGAGGTGGCAATAGTAGGAGGTGATTGGAACTGCGTTATTAAGACGGCCGACGTGGAACCGAAAGGGGCAGGCTATGTGTCGGTATCCCTAAAGAGATTTAATGAGGGTTGTTCTGTTATTTGGGGTGCGTTTTAGGGGGGAGCGTGGGGGACAGAGCATACGTTTAATAGAAGAGGGTATGCAGCGAGGTTAGATGGAGTGTATCTTTCTCACGGAGTTGTAGTGCGATCTTTCAAAACTGTTGAAGTAGCATGGTCGGATCATAGAGCAGTGTTGGTGGAGGTTGGGTGGGAGGTGCTTGCGGAAATATACAGGAGTTTTCTGGAAATTAAAAAGTAAGTGTATTGAGGATGAGGAGGGGTTAGTGGGATTTTCTGTCCTATGGAAGGAGCTTAGCAAGGATGCACAGGGGGCGGATGATGTCGTGAAATGGTGGGATTTTGTAGCCAAGGAAAGGATTAGGAAATATTAATGTGAGGGAGGGTAAACGTAAAAATAATTTAAAATATGGACTTTCAAATTATTTTGAGGACAGGTTAAGGGTTTTTTTATGGGCAGGGGGGTGTGGGGGCAACTATCCTATGGATGAAATTGTTGAGGTCAAGGGGAGACTGAGGGAATTACAAAATGAGAGGTTTCAAGCGATAAGGGTGCAGAGGGGTGCAGGGGTAGAGGAGGTGCTTTGGGGAGGCTAGCCATCGGCATGTGTGTTGCGACGTCAAAAACAAAGGCAACAGGTTACAGCTATTCCGAGGTTAGAGGTACATGAGATGGCGGGAGGTTATAGGGTAGGCAGGAGATACGTGCTACGAAAGGAATGTGTGGGTATGCGGATAAATTGTATGAAGGGTATTGGACAAGTGGGAGGGTGGGGGAATGTGGATTTAGAGAAGGTGTGTGAGTATGTGCCGTGTACTTTAGGAAATAATATAGGAAGGCTTTTGGAGGGGTGGGTAACAGAAGAAAAAATAAAATTGCCTTTAAGGGGAATGAGGAAGGGCAAAGCACTGGGAATGACGTCTCCCGGCTGAATTTATCTACAACATTTGGAGGTGAATAAGGGGTTTCATGGGTAGGTGATTTAATCAGATGAAGGAGAAGGGTGTGATGGGAGACAAGCAAGCAACAGCAGTTGTAGTGTTGGTCCCGAAGGGTAAGGGGCAGCACACCCTCAAGGAGTACCGTGCCATATCGCTGTTATGTGCAGATTATAAGTTGTTTGCTAAAGTCTTTGGTAATCGGTTTAAATATGTCGTAGTGAGAGTGGTTTCGAAAACCCAGTATGGATTGCCTGGAAGGTGTATGATTGAAGGTCATGGAATACTGAGAAGTTTTGTGGAGTCAAAAGGAGGGGGAGGGGGGCGGCGTTGTTTGCTTTAGACTGGCAGGGGGCCTATGACAGAGTTGAAATGGGAGCATTGGTAGTTCTACTTGGGAGGCAGGGTTATGGGGAAGAAATAGTTAATTGGGTAACCACGTTGTTCAAAGGAGCTAAGATGAGGGTACAGATTAATGGTTGCTTGGGGGAGGAGATTGTAATGGGTAGGGGACTTAGGCAGGGGTGTCCCATGTCACAAATGTTGTTTGCGTGCATTCAGGACCCCTTCTATAGACTGGTTGGACGTTGTGTGTGCAACACGAGTGGGGGTGAGGGGGAGGTAAGGAAAGTGTGGCCTGGAATAATAGGTTATGTAGACGATACAACAGTCCTGGTTCGGGAAGGGATGGTGTTGGGGGTTTTGGATAATGTTGTGCAATTGTTTGGAAGTGCAACAGGAATGCAGGTAAATAGGGAGAAGTCAATGGTCATGGGGTTGGGTGATTGGGTGGAGGTGGGGGGGAGATGTAACGTTGTGAGGAAACAAACGGTGTCTTTAAACATTTGTGGTATCATCTATAAGGATGACCTGGACGCTGCTCGAGAGGAAAACTCAAAAAGATTGATGGAAAG